TTCAGTTCTAATAAGTTCGAGAACTGAGGTACCACTGTACTTTATTATGTACAAGAAGGGAAGGGGGATCTTTCTATAGTTTTTAATAACTGAGGACTCATCTTATTGGCCTAAAATATTGACTTGTTTCCAATAGCATAATTGAAAATTGCCTCTTAGTATCCATCCATCTTCCAGGTCCTTATTCTGGTCCAGACTGTGGGGATTGACTGCTAATAATGATGTGATAACATCAGGCATTACTTACCAACAAGATGAACACCCATTGTAGGCACAAACCCTGTTTAGTTGATTGGGAGACTGGTCAGAGGAGGCTGTTGGCTCAGTTGTAAGACATTTTAAAAGACAACGCCAGGAAGTGCTCAGAACAAGACAGCCGGCTTGGATCAATAATAAACCCAGTTAGCAGTTCCTTTTCCTTCATTTTCGTCCACTACTAATGCTCTCACTTTTGAGTATAGGCCGGGGGCCATGGGGTACCATGTGGTGGTGCCTAGTACTGCCATCTGTTGGCATGATGCAATCACACAGTAATATAGCAGAGATGGGGAGTCGAGTTTGCGAGTCAGCCTTGAGCCTTGACCCAAACTGAAAAGGCATTAAACACTTAATAATGTGTGGCTGTGTATCGAGCATAGGAACTGGAGCTAGAGAAGCGTGACACCAGGCGGTATCAACAATCTCTAACACGCTTTTTCTATTTGTCACTGATCTAACAAAGCACAGGATATTCCAAGTGTTATTTTACATTAGATGGCACCGCTTTGAGATTGCTTCGGGTTGTTTAACCTGTGTCATAAATTATATATACCTACATTGTGTTGTTATACAATGACACAGGTAGGCATAGATTGCCATAAATCTGACAATTTAGCAGGTATGTTCCAAAAACATAATTTAGCAGGTATGGCCCAAAAACTTTTCTGACATACCCTTCCAAGTGAAGCTGTTTTTTCTTACAACTTATAAAGTGCCCATACCTTTTCATTGTGCCCTGCCTACGCCGTATAGTGTTATGTCTTACATTATTCGGATTTCCATCACACATTCATATTTAATGGTTTTAATAAAGAAAAACATAACGCCAGCAAATAATTTGATTGAACAGTAATATCACTGACTGCTCTCCCGTGATTAAAAGAGCAGTACAACTGCACACATTAACCTTCTAACATGGAGTTTTGCGGTGTTACTTGCATAATCATTTATTTACCTGCATGTATGTTGCGGGGGGATCGCGGCATACATCACATTTGGGAACCAAGAGTGTGATCAAACCTGAAACGTCCTCATATTTGGGGACATTTTGGATATCCTAATTTAAAAATCAAACAAAATACAATCAAAAGAGTAAAAATGCCAAAAGTAAAGTCTTGTATTGTTTGGTTACATTGGTTAATGTTAGGGCTGGGTAAGGGTTCAGGCTGTTGTGATTAATATTAAGATTTTTCCCATAAAAATGAATGGAAGGTCCCCATTTAGATATATATGGCAACATGGGTGTGTGTGTGTGTGTGTGTGTGTGTGTGTGGGGGGGGGGAAGTCCAGGTATATATTACATTGACTAAATGTCCCCACAATGTCATAAAACCTGTTACTTTAACGTTGTGGGGACTATTTTTTTCGTTCACCACAAGGAGAAATTAAATTTTATACAAATCTGTGAGTGCAATCAAAAAACTAAAAAGGCCAAAAGACTTGGATTTTGTTTGGTTAATTGTGGTTAAGGTTAATGCTGGTTAGGGGATAAGGTTGTTATTTTTCAGATTAGGATTTTGCCCATAGAAATGAATTAGTGGGCCTCACAAAGATATGAGTACAGGTTTGTATGTGTATGTGTGCGTGTGTGTGTGTACATAGTTGTTGCCAAGTTTGGACCATCTTTGGAGTATGTTCTTAAGTCTTCACACTAATTAAAGTTTACCTATTCTGCTCATCAGATGTATTCATCATAATGTTATTTTTGAGAAAGTATTAGTTTTTAAATCTACATTAGAAAAGTACTTTTGTTCTTACAAAAACTTTATTGCTTCAAAGCCATTTGAAATAGTGATTACTTTGAAAATGTATACATGGAACTATGAGAAAAGCAGTTTTTGTACTATGCAAGTGGTGGTTCCCATTTAATCGCATCAGTTACTAACAGAAAAAAAAAAACAAATGAGCGGTTATATTTTTGATAAATAGTAATGTCAAATTGGAACCATGATGGAGACTTCAGACTTGACTTGGAGTCTAATTTGGTGACTCATGAACATCTCTGTAATATAGTATCTCTTTGTGTGTATAGCACATGGAGGACATGGAGAAGAGCCATCAAACCTTCCTGATGGATGCGCAGGCAGAGCTGAAGAATGAAATGCGTATGCTGCAGAAGAAGATTTTGATGGACACAGTAAGCAGTTAACAAATTCAATTACTTTACATTATATGGAACTACATAAAAGTAAAAAAGACAGTTCTGCCATTCAACCCATGTAATATGTATTTAATGTTGCACATAGTCTGGGGATTTGAATTTAAATGAGACAGAAGTGTTACATTATTAGTTTTACTAGACTCACATCTCAATTTTCTTTTTCCTCCCTCCCGTTCAAGCAAAAACAAGAGATGGCAACTGTACGAAAATCTCTCCAGTCAATGATATTCTGAAGAATCACAGCTGTGCAGGTGACCTGGGTCATTTTGCCTTTTCATCGGCAGTAGTCTTTCAGGCCTCTTGTAATTTCAGAGAAAATATATTAAATTTTACAAAGTTTGATTCTTAGATTTGATAGTTGATTGTGTCAAAGAAATTGGTGCACAAAATGTTTTGTGTGCAGTTAAGATTTGTTGAATAAATTTCAAAAGTAAATAACACAACACTCATGTCTGTGCTAATCTGTGCTCAGCACACTCAATTTCTTGCCTTTGTTTTATTCAAAATTCATATAACTCCACCCAGTGACTTCAGGCTGCTAATTATAGCAGTTATGGTACATGCACATTGATTACATATAAATACCATTGAATTGAAAACAACTGAAAAAGGGTGTAAATAACATAGCAGGGTCAATGAGCAACATTTTAATGTTAATATCAGTAATGCAATCTGAATATAATCGAGTAACATTATTAGAATTACTCATATGTAGTAGCATCACTGTGGGATTAAAGGGAAACAGGCTGGACGTGACTTTTTACCCACATATGTGTGAAACTTCTTACTTTGTTTTTCCTGTTCTCATTTTCACTTGGCTATCATCCATTTTTACTTCAGATTTCATAATTTTATGAAAATAGTTACACAATTTACAGCTCAGGAAACAGGCTAAATAGGGATTAATTTGCTTGAAATTAGCAACCAATGGAAAATGTTTAGGACTACAGTATAATCAAGGAGAACTCCCCCACTCCATGGATGAGTACCTCCATGGATCTAAAAACATAAATTTTACTTAAAATCAAAACCTGCAAATATCCTGGATTAGGCTTTCAGAAAGAGACATATAAGTTATATTTTATTTTGGGATGTTGCACTTTGCTCATTTTATTTGATCTGTTCATTACAGGCTAAATTTGGATACATTTACTACTCAATACTAGTCAAAACTGCAGTTTACACTGAATTGTGCCATAATTGCTATTTTCCATATGAGTAACCATATTTGCCATTTCATGAACTGGAGTAGCGCAAGAGAAAGATGCAGGACTGTTTGGCAGCCTTCATTTAGTGAAAATACCACTCCGCTACCACAGCAGCTATCTTATTGCACGCTGTAATGCATTACTTTTATAAAATTGCACTTTTATGTCATAAAACAACCAGCAGAGGGAACAAATGAGCAGAATTGGTACAAATAATGCTTGACATGCAGGTATATTTCAAACATACAGTCCTACTTAAAAATACAAGATTATGGCATGTAATGCTCATTTGGAATCCTGCTTCCTGGCACAGACTAACACCTCAGTCCTTTTACTGGACAGTTGGTTGGAAGATGAATGAAGGGAATGTAAAGTTGTGCATGAAGGATCACAGTAGAACAAGAGTGTGATGATTTCTTTAAAATTTTAAAGAAAATGAACAACACCCACATATGTAATCAAAGAGATGTAAAGGTGATCAGCATAACTCTGAATCTCTATTAGAAGGCTCACTGAAGGTTTGACAATAAAAAAATCGTTTTTTATTATGTCCTGATATGTAAAACATAGAACTGAAATCAGGTGTATCTGCTTTTTCAGAAGACCGTATGCTTCACACACATAGATACACACACACACACACACACACACCACAAATTCTATATATTTTAAAACATGAATCCTTCAAATGTAGATGTAGTGACTTTTTCATTTCAAACTTTTCCTTTTGTTTCTTTTCCACAGCATAAGTATGCTACAACGCTTAAGGACTAGAGAGTGCATTAATTGGATGTGGACTTTGCTTGGCATAATGTCCATATTGCAAAGAAAAAAATATACAGTACCCAGTATCAAACAGCATTCATTTTAGAAAAAAAAATGTTGGGAACACAGACACAGGTTTGTAATTATATCTTTGTGGGGACGCGCCATTAATTTCTATGGGGAAAAACCAGGGCTGTGGAGTCGGTAGATAAATGCTCCGACTCCGACTCCTCGACTCCGACTCCACAGCCCTGGGAAAAACTCTAATTCCAACATGACGACTTTAACCCCTACCCAGCCCTGACCTTAACATTTTTACTTTTTTGATTGCATTCAATAACAGGTACACATACACAGAAATCTTAAAATCTTAATTATTATCAATTATACGAAAATATATGAAAATCTGCCATCCAGAAGGAACTCAAGAGGAAATTTAATCTAAAATAGTGAAAAACATTAATGCTTAAAATGCTTTATTCAATGTCATCCAAATAGCACACTTAAAACCATGGTGTCATACAAATGTCTCCATATTTATGAAAGTCAACACATCTTAGTTACAATAGAAGTATAAGGTAGACTTTATTGCAAAAAAAACCTTAGAACACTGTTTAAATTGTATTTATTTATTCATTCTTACAAGATACCAGGGAATAAATAAAAACCCATCAGGAAGTTTAATGAACCACAGAAAGACAGCATGATGGTGCCTGAAAGCCTTGATCTCCAAATGCAGTATTACATTATAATAGAATTCAGTGAAATATTTTGCTCAAAAATGACTAAGCACGTCATTAAAAATTGTCATCAAGGTGGAAAAAAGCCTGTGCTTCTTCAGACTCTTCAGATATATATACATACGATAACTCACAGCTGCAGATTAGCGTACGTTATTTTCATCATGCAGAAAAGCCACACAGCTTGGGCTGCATTTCCCATATTCATTAGTGTATGAAGTCACGTGCTCCATCTCTCTGATTCAGCTGGGGTTCTTGGTCAGCACTAATCAAATTTCATTTTCATTTAATCAATTATCACCAAATAAAGAGTTTGTAGGAATGTCCATGAGGATTGTCACAGTTGTTTTTAGGGGTGGTTGTATTTCCCAACCCAGTCCGAGGAAACACCGACAGTGGGTTGGGACACACCGTCCTACAGGACCTGTAAAGATGTACTGTACCTGTGGAGTAATCCATTTTCATCCAACATATGCTTGGGGCCTATACTTTCCAGCCAGCCTGCTTACCATCAGCCTCCTTCTCATGTGCACGGGTAAGAATCTCCTTGTAGAGGACCTCAGCCTCCCTGTACTTTCCTTGTTTCAGGAAACAAGATGCCTGCAGAAAAGAAATACACTTTGATGTAAAATCAAATAATAATATCATTGGGCAGTACTGGGGTGCGTGTGCACACACACACACACACACACACACACGTCTGTACATAATTAATCTCATTTCTATGAGAAAAACCCTAATCCCAATCACAACACCCTTAACCCATACCCAGCCCTTACCTTAACCATAAGTAACCAAACAAAATGCAGTCACAGATTTTTATAAAATTGAGTTTCCCTTGAGAGGACCAAAAAAACTATTCCCACCATGTCAAAATAACAGGTGTTATCACATTGTGGGGGCATTTTGTCTCCACAATGTAATCTATACATGACCCCCCCCAAACACACATACACACACACACACACAGACATTCTAAGAATCACAGACACCCATGTAAAAATTATATCTACTCCACTGAAAAGCTAAATATCATCATCGTCATCACTTGTGAGAGCTTCAGCTTGAATATAGAGTAACATTCTTACTAAAACCACCCAAAGAAGAAAAAACACAGTGTATTAACTTTTGCCCCATAGCTGTCAGGTAGAACCAAGGCTGGACCAGACTGGATTTACTTTATCCTGGTTATTTGTTTTTTTTTCTCCAATATGATAATGAAACTCAACTGTGATGGACAGGCTTAATGGTTCTCTGTAACCCAGTCTATACTAGGGAAATTAAATTCAAGCCAAAATCTGGAAGAGTTTGACAATATGCATTTAATATGCTATAATAGTACTTCACTGTAAGATCTACACCTTTATGAACTTCTTTATGACAGCAACTAATTTTGTTTAATACTCAAAGATAAGGGCTTTTTGCAGACTTTCTCTCACCAGGTTGTTCTTGGTCTTGGCCACATTGGGGTCGTCTGGACCGAGTCTGCGCTCGTAGATTTCCAAGGCTCGGCGATAGTAGCACTCAACCTCCCCATACTTGCCTTGGTTTTGACATAACAAAGCCAGGTTGTTCAGCTGTTTGGCCACATCTGGATGATCCTTCCCCAGCACCTGATTGCAATACCAGAACGTTAATGAGGAGAGAAACCAAACAAGGGTAAAAAGGCTTTCAGGAACTCCCCATACCTGCGTTTCCGCTTGCCTCTCCCTCCTACGAATGCTGCCATAGCCACACCTGCTGGCGCTTACATACTGGACTCACATAACTGTTTGCAGTTTCTCTTTGGCTAATTGCACATTTTATTTCCCCCACTCCTCCTGGGCTGTGCTGCTTGGAGACACCAAATTATCAAGATATCCTGCCTACCCTGCTGCCTGTGACATCTCCACTACCTGTGGCGTCTTTCCGGCCTGGTCACCCTTCTGCCTGTGACATCCCTCCTTCATGCCCTGCTGCTGTACCGCTGTTCATCCTGCCATCAGAAGCAGCACCAGCACCTGCCTGCCCCCTGCTTTTAGACTCAAATGTTAAAATTGGGACAGTGTGAATTGGGACATCTTGCTCATTTGATTTCCTCTGCTGGCCCTTGGAGGATGGGCTCCCCCCCTTTGAGTCTGGTTCCTCCTAAAGAATCTTCCTTCTAGGGAGTTTTTCCTTGCCACTGTCACCTCTGACTTGCTCACTGGGACCTCACTGCAGGATAATGTAAAGCGCTTTGAGGGAAAGTAATGATGTAAAAATGTACTATACAAATAAAACTGAACTGAATTAGAAGTTCTGCTGACCATGAATATCTGTACTTGACATTGTCCCATCAGTCACATGACTAACTTACAATCTAATACAAACTTCTCTCTAATATGAACTACAGAAGTAATAGTTTAGATCAGTGCTTCCCAACCCAGTCCTTGGGGAACCCCGGTCAGTCCACGTTTTTGCTTTCTCTCAGCTCCCAGCGCTCCTACACCAGGTATTCGGTGTTCCTAATTGGCTGGGAGGGAGCAAAAACGTGGACTGTCCAAGGATCCCCAAGGACTGGGTTGGGAAACACTGGTTTAGATCAGGAGTAGGCAATCCATGATCCTGGAGTGCTGGTTTCCAGCAGGTTTTCCATCCTCCCTGGTCTCTGATGAACCACACCTGACCTCAGGCAGATGGTAACCCATCAGGTAGGATAGAAAACCTGCAGGATATCGGCACTCCAGGATTTGGGCTGCATACCGCTGATTTAGATGTATAGTCACTGTAGAGCTTTTCACCCACCAATCCTCAATGGCCACTCTTACAGTGAACATTGAGGGACAGGCAAATGCTGCATTTCCAGTAAACACACTGTTCCTCATTTGAAACCAAAGGAAGTCACACGGTCCAACGATTGCTTGGCTGCACAATGACAGGTGCTTTCCATTCCGCTTTCCCGTGGACGTGACTTTCCCTACCTTCTCTCGGATCTCCAGCGCCCTCTTGCAGAGGGGCTCAGCCTCCTTGTACTTGCCCCTCTTCCCATACAGCACAGCCAGGTTGTTCAGTGTTGCAGCCACCTGTCAGTCACATTTCAGACATGGTCAGATTCCTGCTCCTAAGCTGCTTGTACTCATACTGACTTACATGGATACACTGGTAGCCTGTCTCTGATTTGACCTCTGCGCTGCTCATCATACTGTGACTTAGCTATCAAGTCCCAGAGTCCTCAGTTCCCAGCATCCAAAGGACATTACATTCTAGAGTCTATGTTCTATTAAGCTGACAGTCTCTGTGTTTCACATGTAATTACAGTGCAATTCAGACAGGGGTCGCTGTGGCACCGCACCTCGTATAACCAAAACTCTAACCCTTTTACTCTAAATAATGAATGGGGGTTTGACTGACAGCTACTCATTCTGACATCACAAGTGATGGTTTTGCTTATACCATATTTTCCCCCACTTTCAATTCATTTTGTAAAGGGAATACAAAGGGTATTCATATGACAATGGATACTTAATAATAATAATAATAATAATATTATTCTTCTTATTATTATTATTATTATTATTCACCTTGGGGGAAATGTTTGTTGTTGAACGATTTTGAAAAATGTTGTTGTTGATAAATTGGTTCATCATTAATGAGCACTGACAAAAATAACCAAGATGAAAAATGCATTTCCTTGCATGACATGGTTATTTTGATGGTTATCATATCAGTCAAACTAAATCCCTCCACAGAGTGGGTTCACTTCCTGCTCGCCACTTACTGCTGGGTGGTCTTTGCCCAGAGTCTTCTCACGTATAGATAAGGCATCATTTAGCAGATGGGCAGCCTCCTTGTACTTGTTTTGGTCCCTGAACGCAAAACACAAAAATATACATATAAAGCTACTTATGATGCGCACACACACACACACACACACACACACACACAATAATAACAATAATAAGTATCCATTGTCATATGAACATCCTTTGTATTCCCTTTACAAAATGAATTCTAATTGGGGGAAAATATGGCACAAGCAAAACCATCATTTGTGATGTCAGAATGAGTAACTCTCAGTCAGACCTCCATTCATTATTTAGAGTAATAGGGTTAGAGTTTGGATTATAAAGGTGCGGTGTCACAGTGACCCCTGTCTACATTCTGCTGTAATTACAGTATGTTTTCCACTGCACACACGCGCACACACACACACACACACACACACACACACACACACACACACACACACACACACGGTGTTCTTCATTGTGTGGTACAGGTATGCCGGGAGCTGGGAGGGACATTCTCATGGTCCCCGACAATATGGCTGAGAAACACTGGCATACACTGTTTTAATAGTCAAAAAACCTACACATTTTTGCACTTGTTTGTGTGTATTTTCAGTAAAAAGGGGCTCTTTCTGTCCCTGGCTAACGCACCGGTACACCAGCGCCAGGATGTTGAGCATGGTGGCCACGTCGGGGTGGTCGTGGCCGGAGGTCTTCTCCAGGTCCTCCAGCGCCTGCTTGCACAGGGGCACGGCCACCTCGTAGCGGCCCTGCGAGGCGTACTGGATCACCAGGTTGTGGAGGGTGCGCAGGCGGGCCGGGATCTCATAGCCACCCTGCTGGGCCGCCGCCGCCGCCGTGCTGCTGTGCTGGTGCTGTGCTGTAGAGGAACGGGGGGGGGAGGGGGGGGGGCAGTTAAATGCTGTCACAGGAACCCTTATATCACACAGGCTCCTTTTAAATGACCGTCTTTCAGCGTCCAGGATTTTGTACATTACATCTACTTTCTCGTAAGAATAGAAACAAAGCCCAGTTTCATTCTACTGCTGCATGTTCATCAGAAAGATAAAGTAACATTAGAGCTTACAATTCAGTTTCACAAATAGTATACAGAAATGAGCATAACTTTTAGTAATGCAGCGTAATAATTGTATTATTGTTTGAGTAAACGCAGATGATCATGTAAACCAGTGTTTCTCCCAGCTCCCTGCCAGACAGTCCACATTTTTGCTCCCTCCCAGCTCCCTGCCAGAAAGTCCACATTTTTGCTCCTTCCCAGCTCCCTACTGATGTAAACAATGAAGACTGCGTACTTGCATGAGCGTGCTCCTCTGCTTCACTGGGAAAGAGATCATCCAGGCACTCCTTATGAGGTTCACCTTCCTTTTCTTCCTGTAAAAGTGTGTGTGGGGGGGGGGCATTGCAGTCCAATTGGTCAAATTCACAAGCAATCAGAGGCAATGGGGAGATACCAAGCATTGCTGTTGACTGAGGTACATGCAAGAAGTAAAAAATGTTCTGATACTGTATTTCCCCCTTAAATCTCTGTATATTTCAGAGATTTTAGGTTATTCGCCTCCTTTCGCCCCTTCTAATGATCCACTTCTTTCATTGTCAGATTTCTTCTATTTTATACCTGTAACTATATCTGGCCATGAAAGCAAGACAGCAATTTGTAATGATGTGGAATTGATGCAAATGCATTTGGTTACTCATCAACTCTGGGTCTGCAACTCAGCCGCAGGTCATTTCATTTAACTGCGGCGTGATTTACGGTATTATACTGCATTTAAAGCCAACTAACTTTCCTGTTTCAGGCTAGCTCAAGGTCCTCAGGCTATAAAACAGCTTTATTTTTCAGCATAGAGTGTCAAAGTCTTGAAGAGCCAGACAGAACATCTGCCCATGAAGTTGCTTAGCTAACTTATAAAGAGGCAAATATGAGACTGACAAAGAAAAGCCTGGACAATGCTGAGAGGGTTGTTGATAAACTCATTGTTGGTCTCACTACGAGGAATCTCTTGACTGACTGTGAAAAATCACTCAAGTCCTCTCAGGAATTTAATATTTAAAGCCGGCTGCATTTCACAGCATGCTTTCAGCCCGAAACACAATAACGGCATTCTTATTTTCGATCCAGAAGGAAAGTACATTTGTGCTTGTCGTCCATTTACTTCTGCATTTTGCAGGCCAAGTTATACGATGCACAGACAAGGAGGCAAAGTGAATACTGTTACCTTGAAAAGGAATTTGTGAAGAAAGAAAAAAAAATACTTCAGAGAATTTTTCCACGCCTCAGTTTTTCACAAAACCGGTCATTTTTGCTCTGTGAGAGCTGCTCTGCTTTTAATTCTGTCATCTGAAAGAACAAATCCACTTACAAATTCTGGATAGAAAGACAAGCTGCATGTCTCCCGAGCCACAAAGCTGGAGAGCGTGTGACGACGCCCGATAAGACGGCCCCGCTCACCAAGGGGGAGGCGTCCTCGTCGTACTTCCTGAGCTGGCTCATGAACTCCAGGTGCTTCACCTCCTCCTCCAGCTGGGCCACGCTCTGCTCGCTGTGCTGCAGCTTCTGCTGGCTCGCCGCCAGCTCGTCGCGTAGCCATTGGTTCTCCTGGCAGAGGCGCCGCACCTGCGCCCGCAGCTTCTGCTTCTCGGACTCTACTGCGTTCAGGTGGCCTGACAGCGCCGTCATCACCTGCGCGGAGGGGACCCGGCGTCACCTGGCAGCTCGCAAAATGACTCAAGTGTGGCCGCTTTAGGAAATGTATTTTCCGCTATTTCAGCCACACCCACATCACTACAGTGTTTAAAACTGAGAACAAGTGATGTTAATTAAGCAGTTGCCACACTCAAGGGCTCAGACTTCACCACATTGAAACATATATGTCACCAACCACTACTCCCCCTGCTGGCCAGCATGATATCTGCCACATCTGTCAATGCCCCACCCCAGCCATATCGTTCGCTCGTTGTCTGGCCTACCTGTGCCTCCTCCAAGCCCAGTTCGATCATCTCCACCGACTTGTGCAGCAGGCTGGACTTCTCCTGCACCACATTGGCCTCCTCATCCTTCTTCAGGCTGGTGATCGCCTCCAGCAGGCTGTGCAGGATGGTGTTGTGCTCATTCTTCAGCGTCTCCAGGCCCTGGATCACCTGCTTGGTGCTGGAGATTATCTCCTCCTGCGAGAGCTTCTCCAGCTTTTCTTCCCGTGGGTAAACTATCACGGACATGTTCCGAATGGGCCGTCCTAAGAGTGGGTGGGGGGAGGGGGCAGCATTAGAGTTAGGCCTGTACCCAAACTTTCTGCAGTACACTCTTATTTGAATTTGATAAAATTAAGCAGTTGTTCTGAAATTAAATGACAACAATAATAAAAATACACATTTAATGTGAGTGCAAGATATATTTAGAAACAACATTCTGTCCTAATACTGACATAACGAGAGCAGTCTAACACGAGTACTAAACAAGACCACAATTTACTACTTTACTGCACTTAATCTACTCCTATGCAGCACTTTCACAAATGAGGGTTTTCTTTGAAAGTTATCATTGCATAAGAGATATTATCAATCACATTAACAGTAGATATTTATGACAAATGCACCCTGTCAGTCTCCATGAATCAGACACGTCCCAGCATGGGATTATATCACCAGGGTTCACACAATAATGATCGGGACAGAACTGAATGGATGGATGGATGGATAACTTTAATCCCAGAGGGAAATTATAATTTCATTAAAACATTAAAACGAGCTACTGCCTATTCTGAAATAAATAAATAAATACACAAATAATAAATAATACATAAAACATAATACTGTATTTAAATACAAAAAACCAAAACCCTCAGCCATAGCCCCAGAAATGTCTGTGTTTTGATCAGATACACTCAACAAGCATGCAAATGGATTTGTTCATTGCACATTTAAAAATAACTACATAATTTTTAATAAACGTGTTCAGAGCATTACCAGGAACCAGGTGCTCTACCTAGCATCCCACAGCAACTTAAGTTAGTGGCCATCCTCCATTTATGAAGAATCTGCTACTTAACACTGCCACACACTACAGGACAAATATGGACAGGTCCACGTAATGACCAGGTTATTAAAGCTTCCAGGAAGGCTCTCTAAAGCCCTGTTTTCCAACCTGATCCTCAGGGAACCTGAGGCAATCCACGTTTTTGCTCCTTTGGAGTGAGCAAAAATGTGTACTGCCTGGCAGGGAGCTGGGAAAGAGCAAAAACGCGGACTGTCTGGGGTCCCCGAGGAACAGGTTGGCAAACTTCGCTCTGAAGTAACTTAATATGGGTCTATTTGAAATTCACCATTACCGTCTCTCATTTTAGTTAACAGTGGGGAAATGTTAGAATGATGATGTTAGAAACAATTCGGGCTCCTCCATCTCAAGAAGTTCTCATTTACCACAGGAATAGAATAGAATAGAAGTTCTGCCATGCTTCCTGAATGACGGACTAGGATATTGTCAGATAAAATGTGATTATTATGAGCTTTAATTGCCTCATAGCCTGCAGTGTTGGTTCTTAAACACACCACGAGCAGCCCCATCCTGGGGACTCAGTAAGTGTTTGTTTGTCACAGCCCTCACAGGCTGTGTGTCTACCATGGGGTACACCCGGATGGGGGGGGGGCGAACACCGGCGCCATCTGCGGTGGAATGTTGTTTTAGTCTAATGACATAATCAATGCAGCCTACAATCTGTGACATTATTGGTGCAGCCTACAGTCTATGACATCAATGGTGTAGCCTACAATCAGTGATATCATTTCTGTGGCTTACAACCCGTGACATTACTGCTGAGGCCTACAATCTGTGACATCATTGGTGCGGCTTACAATCTGTGACATTATTGGTGCAGCCTACAGTCTATGACATCAATGGTGT